ACATGGTTATATGTCGTGAACAAATCATTAAGTAGAGCTAACAACTCCGACTCATAATTTGTACAGAAAACTTTTTTTTAATAGGAGGCTACTTGCTGAATTTTACTTTGAACAGTCCGGAGAAGCCAGAGTTTACAAACACAATAAACAATGCTGTAATTAGGATATGGCACACAGTACCATGAGTTTAATTGTCATGATTTTTGTTTGTTAAAGAGAACAATAGAAACAATATTTATGAGCAATTATAATACCTATCAACACTTATCAGAGATCGTAATTGTTCAGCTAGCAATCACTTTCCTGAAAATGAAAAGCATTATTTGTAATGTTACACGTGTCATCACGTGCAGAATAACAAGGAATAATACATGTATCATTTTCCATTTACCTTTAAATGGGGTATGGAGTTTCAATATGCGTGTTCAGTTTCAATATGCAATACACGGTGTGAATACATTTAAACATTTCAGCTTTTTAAGTCCACCAAAAATCTTACGTACGACAGACATATTCCAAGAAATTACTGCTGATGTTTATCGTAAACAGTTTCTGGTTACGAAAACCCCAAAATAACTATTAAATGAGTTACAGGAATGAGTATTTCACATAAGTCAGGGGGTTATATTTTTAAGAATAATGAATTCCACCATTACAGTGACAATGCCATAGTCTATGTTTGTGTAACTTGTGATTTTAACACTGGTTAATTAATTACTTCATAGATCAGATCTATTAAAAATTTCGCTAGTATAAAAAAGTAATTAGGAGGGTGAAATGGTGCATTTAGGTGTAAATTTCATAATTACCATACAATTAGTGAGATTAAAACTACTCACCTAAACAAATGTTTATTGCCTATAAAACAGGTTTTTAAATGTCAGTATTATAATGTTAATACAAAGCATAATGTTTTTGAATTACAGTTAGCTAAGTTAATGGGAATACATTTTCAATCATGTGCAAACACCTACCGAAAGTGGAAATTAAATATACGTATAAAGCTACCGACAGTGTTTTTTTTCTAACGAAAGCGATAAGAGTATGTGTAAGATTGTGGTTGAGTACTGAAATTACTGGATCCAAAATAATCCTCATACTAAACGTATTTGCCATACAGCAGGAGACTCATCCAGAGGCGACCTTCACCGTATCTTTGTCTCACACTGACATCTCTGGCTGAGCCTGCCAAAAAATATTAACTTTTTTTTATATTTCCCCTCATGCTACGGTTTTGTTATTCATGCGCTACACTTTAGAAAAAAAAAGCGTAATCTGCCTCTCGAGTTTTGTTTTCGAGCTCCTAAGCGCAAAAGTACAAGGTGAGGGGGGGTGGGTGACCTATTTCAGAGTGGCGTGCAGCTACAATTAGCCCATTCATTCTCTCGACTACTTGTAGCCCTTTCCTTGGAAGCAATTACAGGCGCCCCAAACCCTGCCCTGCCAACAAATGCCACACCGTGCACGCTGAGCTTTCAGCACCCAAGAAGGATGTGCAGCCCCGCAGAACACGCAGTAAACCTGGATCGGGCATATTTGTCGTGCACAATGGTTGACATTTTTTTGTATGGCGTTTGAGCACAATGTATGGCATTACTTTGCTTATGCGTATTCTTGGGTCTTTCGGTAAAGTCACATGGATAGGTTCAAAAAAAATAATACAAAATAACTGTAACGTTTCGATCGCAACGCAAGCGGTCATCTTCAGGAAATAAAAGACGGCCGCTTGCGTTGCGATCGAAACCTATCTACGTGACTTTACCAAAAGACTCAAGAATATGAATTCCTGCAGTCACGAAAGCTTTAAGTCAAGATTTGCTTATACGCGCTAGTCGATGGCGTGTTTATAATCTCGCGCCTTCAGAAACACAGTTACCTGGTGCCATTAATAAAACGCTAATGTACTTAGTGTCAATAAATGAGAGTATACGGTGTACATTGTATTTGTTAATAGTTTCTTTAGAGGAGGTGCATTTTGCAATCTGTTGTATGGGTGCCATTGTTTAGTTGGAGTTTTTTTTCTTTTACACAAGAACGGGTAACACGTGGGCTGAATGAGGTCGATGAAACAGTGAAACGCAGCTCCATTCTGACACCTTCTGATGTAACGAAGGCACTGCACTTCGAGCGGTGGTTATCGCCCCGTTGCGTTTGCATCAGGGGGTCGCCAGCCTGCGGCTCTGGAGCCTCACGCTGCTCTTTAAGGACTGCTTTGGGACGTTATTTATTAAGGACCCGTCTCGCATTCACCGCATGCATTGCGGCATTCGAAATATAAAGTTTTTCATAGCGAATTCGAAAAACAAAAATATTTTCTTATTTTCGTTGCCGACCCCTGGCCGTAGACCTGGCGAGGTGCGACTACGGCATGGAGCACCCACACCTGTGTTCCAGCACTTTGGAGACAAAGAATTGGTGGCTTGCACCCTAAAGAGGCAGGAGATGGCAGTATAATAAGTGGGTTTGTGAACCCATCTGTACAGACCGTTGAGGGTAAATAATACTTATATAGCGTCATTCATGCCCACAGCATCCCACAACGCAGTGTTATTATATATGAGGACCAAATCAAATATACGCAGTTGGCTACGTACGGCGTGAACGAAGCCCAACACACGCGTGCATACATGCCAAGAAAATGAAAACCCTACCACCAATCAAAATTAAAAATGAATCAGCAAGTTAAGAAATGGCGTGGGTTTTCTCGAGGCACACATTTGTATTTAAACGGATTGGCTGAAAAATAAAAACCCTCTGCATGGCCTTCCTGAAAAAAAGTCTTCAAACTCGGTGAGGTTTTCCTGAATAAATAAATGACATGGTCATTATTACAATTATTCTTCTAAACGTAACGGTGCAGCCCTGCAAATGCTGGCTGAAGGGCCTCCAGTCGAAGGAGCTCGAGAGAACCCCTCTGGGGAGCACTTCTACACTGGCCATGTCTTGGAAGAGGTGGGAATACCCACGTTTAACCACACTACCAGCGACCGTCGATCGATTGTGGTGCACCTAGTTATCCTGTTGGGTGGACAGAGGCAGGGAAATATAAGAACCTTGCCCATTGCATCAACTGCAGCACTGGGAGAAAGACCATTGTAGTGCAGATGGGGTACCAAGGCAGATAAATGTTATCCCCCATCGCCTGGTATGGAGGAGGTCGTGGGCTCGATCCCGACCCTGACGCCTGTATATTAAGTATGCATGTTCTTTCCGTGCTTGCCTGGATTTTTCTCCGGGTTCTCCAGTTTTCCCTCCCACATTGAGAATCAACATGCGCTTAGAACATTTGGCTGCTATAAATCTACACGGGATAAGTCTCTTCGTTGGGCTGTCATTTTTTGGGCAGGTTGCTTCTGAAAAAGAGCTGTATAGTTCAGTCGGCCTTACCTGGTAAAATAAAAATCTTAAAAGTTTTGATAGTATTTTTTTATCAATAAAACAATGCAGTAAAAGGAAAGTACATAATAGCTCACACTAAAGGCAATGGCTCTTCTTCACCAGCTATAAGGAAAGGCCATTAGCCAAACCATCGCCTATGATATATTTTTTGCCTGTTAAGGCAGTTTTAATCGAATGTGGCAGTTTAATATTTATACATATGTTAAATGGTATTAAGGATAGGATTACATTTTTTGAGGATTACTTGTTCTCAGATGTATTCTTTATATTAAAGTGGCGTGCATGGCATTTCAAGGGAGAGACAACTTTACAACCATGTGATCTTGTACGTGAATATCCATTTACAATTGTCTTTACATTTTACATTGAATTTGCTCCAGTTATTTAAGTCAATTGGCCACAATCGCTAATTTTTTAACTCATCTGATTCTTGGAAAATGCGTTTGGTAGCGGTACAATGAATGTTCCAAATTGCACAAACTATAAGAATGAACACGAACTGTGAGTAACTAAACGGGAACATTATAAAAATTTTTTACATAGTTTTAAATTAAAAAAAAATGTTAAATGAAAAGCCAGAGTACTTGTGGTTTGGCAAAGTAATACGTCACATTTCGTCATTGTACCACCAATCGAGCATAGTCAATGTGTGCGGTAGTGGCTGCAGACTTGGAACAACAAACTTTAGGATTCATCATCTCAAGGAATGCAACAATCATCTTTAGGAATGCAAAAAAAGAATGTAGGTTTTAAAGACAGTTTCTCTGAAGAAAAAGAAATAAATGGATTGTCATTGGGATTATTTTGTAAGATAATGCTCTTGTTGAAAATAGCCATTTATACAAAGAGGCATGGGCTTGTGCTGCCATGCAGGACCCACATGTTTTCCGAATCTTTCCTCTTAGCCTGCTACTCAGTTACCCATCATCCCGAGCACTGAATGAACGTGTGAGCTGTAGTGTTGCAATGCTCAGTCAGGTTTGTTCCATCGACCATCGCAAGTTTAATAATCGCACAAACCCCTGAGCAGGCCTGGATCTGTCAAGGCCTGGGCTCCAGAAACCAATTTCCGCTTGCCCCCTACCCCACATCGTTAGGGGGGGGGTTGTTTCTCAGGGGGGGAAGGGACAAAATGGAAAATATTCCATGACAAAAACTACGAAGCCCTGCCCTGACATATCATCCCCAAATCACATGCTGTATGTATGTATGTTGTATGCATGCATGGCGAACTTCTTTCGCACCGTACATAGCCAACCGTGCTAATTGGAGGTGCGGGCAAGGACAACAAACTAAGCACAAAAAGCAGCTTTAAAATGTATTTTCAATCTAAATTTAAAAGTGCATAGCTCCAGTGGCTTCCTAATATCGGAAGAGCATTCTAGACGGCCGCAGAAGCGCACCTGAAAGCATTGAATGCGATAACCGTCGTCGTTTGATCGCTAGCCATGCTAGAATCACGGAATCGAGAAAACGACCGAGTGGCTCTATTTCTTGTCGACAGCTGCCCCCCCTCCCCCACTCTGCTCCCCACTGCACGAGCGAGAAGGAGACAGCCGTTGCTCACACCGGGTCCAGCACCACTGAGCGGAGGGCCTTACTGTGAGATGTGCATCACGGCCGGCAGAGAGATGTCCTCCGAGGCCTCGCCGTCGTCAAAGCTCGCCGTGCTATTGAGGGTGGGGCGTCCACTCGGAGCTTCCACACCTCGATCTTTCCCTGCATCACAGTGCGGGGCGCGCCATGGTCAGGACCACATTTACCTTCCATGGGAGCCTGGAGCTGTCATCGTTTTGGGGCCCCTCCCTTGACTCTTTTATCACCAGCCATGCCCAATGCCAAACACATAATTGTAACTCACTTTAATTGTATGTATGTTGAACTTGTCCCCACTGTACGTAGCCAACCGTGCTAATCAGAGCTATTTCGGTCACATATTTTTTTGTATTGTGATACGCAAATTGTATTACTATATGAATGTTAGAACAAACTCAATTTCGCTCATTCTTGTCAGTAATACATAGCGTTTTTATGGCTTTAATTGCCAAGCTACCTATGGGATTTATCATATTGCTACAGTTTTGCGATTTAACCATTATGAAGCAGTATCTATTTTTGGGGTCCGCAAAATCCGAGGTATAGGGCTTCAACTTCTAAAGCCCCTGCGTTAATCCGTCCTTGGTCATGGTAAGTGAAGAAGAGAGGAGGCCCAATGTTTATTCCACTTTGATGCACGCGACGTGGGCAAGGACTCCCATCACTCAAAAGAAGCTGCCAAGGGCATAATAAGCATAACAACACAGTGTTCCCTCGTTATGCATGAACTTGCTGTACACGATTTTGGCTATCCGCAAATCTCATCTGAAGCTCTACACGACTGCATCGAGAGAGAGAACGAAAGAAAGTGATGAGAGACAGAATGTGATGCGAAAAAGTGATGAGACAAAGTAATGAGTTACATTTATCAACGATTATTTAATACTTGAAAATGTTTTTTCTTTATTATAGCGAATTACATTTTGGTGTGTTATGATACATTGTCATGTATTTAATAGCTTTTGTGTATTATTTAACGTGATTAATTAAAAAGATAGGTAGCTCAATAACATTATCCACGAAATTGCTATTCACAAGCTCACGGATAACCAGGGAATCCTGTACTTGGTGCCACCTGCTTCACAGTGGACGTTAAAGATTCCCTGACGTCATCCACAAGAGTAGGCCAGTGTGTTTCCGTATCAGGGTCCACATTTTTTTCCTTATTCGAAAATGAGCCACTAATTACTCAATTGGGATCATACAAAGAAATCATTGCCCCCCCCCCCTACTGGCAGACTAATGCCCCAGGTCACTTGTACAAGTGGCCTCTTGAGTTCTCACCTGGTTAAACAAAATAAACAAAAAAGGATGGAAATAAGCGGAGCGGACATTAATCTGCGTTAAACGTTTTGCCAAAGCGTCACTTTTATTGAGACAATAAGCAGAGAGTCATAAAACTAGAGCAATATTTGCTATAATTTTACCTCAGTTACAGTAGCCATTGGCTATATGCAAAGTTTTATTTATTTTCACGTATTAAATAACTAACATGCTATTAAGGCTCATCGAGATTTGGCCCCATGTGAACCACATTACATACACAATGTCAATTTTGGCAAAAATGATTTTTATTTGTTCTCAAATATTGATAAATACACGTATAGTCAGGCACAACAACAGTTGCAGAGCATAAGTGAAATATTGTTAGAGCGTGCACATGAAGACAATAGAATGTACACAACTTTGGAACACAGAGTTGCGTTGTAAAACAAAAGCTCAGCTGGGCAATTCATCTCGATGGTAATCAAGAAAATGATAAATGGCTTTTTCAAGCGAGGGCCTGGCCACATCGTGAAGGGGGGGGGGGGGGTCACGAGCAGTTGGGTCTAATGAAGCTCTCCGAGAGGGAAACACGAAACATAATCTGGCAGTGAGATTATTTAAAGAGAGCCCGACACGGGACCACCCAGGCAGAGGGCTTGCGGCCCCCCCACAAACACGATTCAGTGGACAAAGTAGCAGGAGCAGGAGGACGAGGAGGAGGGCAGGCTAGCGTAACATAACGGAAATGGTTTTCCAGTCCGAGCAAGATACCGCAAAATACCTAGGTGACCCCGTTACAAATGCTCGAGCCCAGTTCATTTTTCGAACGTTTGAATTTATTGAAAGTAAATAATCCCCTATATAAAAACACATTCGTGTGTACACACTGTGTTGTGTTTTCATAGATTAATAAGGAACATTATAATAGCTTTATAAAATATAAAAAAAAAACATAAAATAAGAAAATTTGCTGTGCTATTTAGAGGAATAATACCACATTCCTCTGGCTAGTATGGATCCAATAAGGTTAGGAATGTTTCGCAAGGACAAATGAAGAGGAGTGGCAGTAGACCCATATGTGGGAGGTTTGATTTTATACAAACGACCTGCATGAAACAGGAATTAGCTTTGAGAAAGCGCTCTGGACTTTAGTTCTGAATGGGGAAATATGTAAGAATTCGGTGGTCAGTAAAATAATGAAGTCCTGCTCAACTAAAGGCGAACAATGAGACTGGAGTGGTGCAAGAGGCTCTCCGCTGGTTTACCATAAATTCCAACCAGCCTTTGAATGGTTTTAGTCAACTGAAGGAAATCATCCAGTCAGGTGGAGCAGTGGCAAGTCCCAGCTGAAGGATGAATCAACCCATAATCCTTTCAGGGTCAATATAATAGGTACCACTTTGTTCACATCTGTAATGGAAAGGATGACCCCATCATAAGAATGTGGAGTTTTACCAATGGTAGAAGGCCAACAATGGTGACGATGTGTTCTGCCCTCTGTAAACACTGAATATGCAAACAATACTGAATGATTGTATAAAATATAATTATATAACAAACAAATGTTTGTACTTATTTTGCCTGTGTTTCACCCACACCAAAGGGGGTCTTGGTAGTAACAATGAAGGTGGAGATCGGGAGGAGTCGGCGGCGTCGGCTGGTCGCACAATAGCGGTGGGCTGCGTGGTGTCGAGGTATGATAGAGGGAGCTCGGTGCGTCTGGCTGCCAACCTGTGGCTGAGTTGGTGCCGTTGTCAGGAGTGTTGGCGTGGTTGCCCTCGGACGTGCTAGATCCCTGCCGTGCCCCCGGGCTCACGAGCCCATCGCCCTTCGCCTGCTTGATCAGCTGCTTTTTCCTCTTCTTGTCCTCTTTTTCCTTCGCCAGTGTAAAGGGGAACATCGACACGTCAGGCTGTGCTCAACACGGGGCTTAGAGAGCCCCCCCCCCTCCACTGGTCTACGGTGGCATGAGCCACCGTTGTACGGGAGGATGGCGGCTCGTTAATACTGCGGTGTTACCGTCACGGAAAAGCGAGGTGGATAGATGCAGTGGGTCTGAAATAGATTGGGCTGGGATTGAACGGAGTGGTAATACCGTGCAAAGAGAACAGTGGTGGAGATTTGTTCAACCCAATCAATGGTTATAAGCTGACACAGCAGGGACAGACGATCGGATTTTAATGGTGCCAAATCTTCCTGTTCTTTCCCATTTTGGCAGAAATGTGCCAATGTCTCAATTACAAACACGGAGTCAAATCACCATGATAATGTGATTTGACCGTTTCATCAAGATGTCACTTCTTAGCACGATCAATCAAACCTCACCATACTAATCTATACTCACATGCATGTTTACTGTACCCTGGCGACCATTATTATTTGTACAGGAATGGACCCCGAGAATGATCGATTATCATGCGATACTACAATATGATTGAACAGACTCATGCTCATTGTGTTATTCTCTTAATGTCACCGAAACTCACGTACATATTTTATTCTATGACTTGAACATAAATATGGTGGTTTCTAAGTCACTCTGACATTCGTCCGTACAATGGTACTTTGTTTTACACATTTTTCCAAAATAATTACAATGGCCCCTTTTTTGGACAGTACACGTAATAGGCTAAGAGCATTTTATTGTTGTATTTATTCGTTTCGTACAAGCAATGAAATCCCAACAATAAACAAATAGCTGCGAGGCAAATTTTGACTTAAAACTTTCGTGACTGCAGGAATTCATATTCTTGGTTCTTTCGGTAAAGTCACGTAGATACGTATCTACGTGACTTTACCGAAAGAACCAAGAATATAACAGCTGCGAGCCACTGAGACTTTTGAGAAAATGCCTCGAGAGTGCCCAGAGGCACAAGGCCCACCATGACGCTGCAACAGTGCGTGGGCTTCAAGCAGTGATTTTTTTTGCGTTCGAGGCCACACAAACTACAACGAACAACACAGCCACGTTCTCCTCAAACACGCGCTGCAGTTATACACCGATAAGATTGTTTACGTATGTGTAAATCAAATACGAACAATACCTTTGAAAATGGAATGATCTATTGAAGCAAACGCAACAGGTATACCTTCCCCTCTTGTTGTTTAGAGAATTAGAATAGCACGGGCTATGATATTCATTTGTTACTGTTTAAAATCACGTGCCCACATACAAAGATGCATGCATTGTGTAATTTTAGATGACTATTTAATTTTGAATCATAGAATTGGTGACGTCAGCATGGGCAGCCTTTCGTCAAGCTTGGATTCGGGAAAGAATGTGCTTCGAGAAATGACGATGCCCTCCGGTGTGTGTCGCCTTGTACTGCGTGTTGTCTCGCAAGATGTCTCATGTCTTCCATCGACGTGCTTCCCTTAAGCTTCTTCGGGAGTTGAATTGCGTTATAAATGCCATTTTAAATGGCATATGTGAGGTTCTCCCCCCAGTGTCATGCATACTGTAATGTTGGACTGCCGACTAGATTTGCATTGAACTTAATTCAGGTTGTTAATTATTATTGATTAGACATGTTTACAACAATTCCATGTTCTTTTGGTCTTTCGGTAAAGTCACGTAATACCCAAAGAATATGAATTCCTGCAGCCACGAAAGCTTTAAGTCAAGATTCAACAATTCCATGCTTTTGTTCTATGTATCCCCTGTGAACCCTCCCTTCCCATGTAACATGCTCCGCCGTTTTGGCCGAGATGCCATTAAAAAAGAGTTTCTTAGCTCAATGGGCCTTACCCAAAATAACAGGACTGACTGAGTAGCTCACTTTCTCCCTGGATTCTTCCGAGATGCTGGTGTGACTGGTTCTCAGCATCGCTATATAATCGATTGACAAAATGAGCATCTCAATTCAGTACCTGAAGAAGCTCCCTGCATGTGGAGTGAAACGTCAGACATCGTGACGAAAAACACATGGAACAACCTAAAACCCATCTGAGAGCTACACAGCACAAACGGAAAGGCCTACAACAGCAATAATAATGGCGATGACAACATTCATATTGTTGATGATGATGTGGATTAGCACGCTCTTCCCATACCTGCTTTCTAATCCATGTGCTGTCTCGGAAAGGGCCGCCCGGCTGTGCATGCGCATTCACGTACATCATCCACGTGGCTGTGGAGTGGTGGTCACTCTCGGCCAAGTGACATCTCCAGAGGCTCTATGGGAATGTTCACATGTGCAGAACACTTGCGTGGAATGCCAACACACGCATAGCATATGATATTGCTCATGACACTGCTGGTGGAGGGGCCTCCACTAGAGGGAGTTCGAGAGAGCTCATGTATCCAGTCGCAAGACATCTTGGAAGAGGTGACAGTGCCACACTTTACCCCACCACACTGCCGAACAACGAACTGTGGTGCATTCATTTATACTTCTTGCGTGGACGACAACACCAGGAGACCGGACTGTAACCTCTGGATTGCAAGTCTAGTGTGTATGGTATACATCCAATGCAATGGTTCAAGTCATAAATACCGTGTTCGGTTCTGCTGGGGTCTGACCTGCCTTGCACAACTCAAGTTGGAATGGACCAGAGATATATTGCAGTGCTATATTTTCATCATGAATAGACTTGAAAGCAGGGCTGTCAGCAGTTATGAATAGGATGTAAAAAATACACACAGGTGTGGCAAACCAACCACTCGATTTTGGTGGTGGTGGGGGGGGGAGGAGAATTGCCTTGTATGTAGCACTCTGAAAATATTCTGGTACAGTTATAAGTTGCATCTGTAGTCAAGACAGATGAGTTTAAATGCAATTTTAATTAAGACAACTAAATTAAAATCCACCAAGGCGTTACAAAACACAATTCAATGCATATTATTTGGCGTTGCGGCATTGGCAGTGGCGCAAATAGCTCCAGAAAAACTTCACGCATTCGTCAATAGCCACTGCCTTAAAAAAACAAAAGACACAATCGGCAACATTTTGATACAATGGCCCTTGTTCATAGCACAAACTCAATCAAGACTTCTCTGGCGTGCGATCAAACAGTTAAAGCGGGCACCTGGATCAGGGTCGCTGCCGCTGGGATTTGCCGGTTGAAGTGCTTCTGCCTCTGCTTTTGTTGCACTTTTAGGGCAAATCCCGAGCCAAGTATACCCTGCGAGACGAGACAACTGCGATGGAACGGTCGGAAAATGCGAACATGTTGGAAGTAGCTTAATTGGCGGCGCAGGGGACCTGTCAACTGTGCCCACTGAACGACAGCCCCCCCTGGGGCGTTGTGTTTATGCACGCCAAGGGTCATTTGTTGGAAGAAAAAAAAGAGTACACTCTCACGTTATCGTCATGCAGCGATCGAGGCAAGCTCGTGATCACGTAGCTGGGGGTTTTTTGTGCGTGTGTTTGTGCTGAATACTTTACAAGACCTTCCATGAAGGCTTTACGGAAAGGCCGCTAAAAGCCCACATGCTTAAATAGAACCTCGTGGGCTGTTTTTTTCCCAAAATAAACTATGGTGCAAATAAATTAAATCCATACTGGTCGTATGAACACGGCTTGGTGTGATATCACTTGTATTGGGAATAAGGTGCTATGTTTAAGCATTTGGTTGACTCAGCTATATGAGAATAAGGGGTGGGGAGGGTATAGACAGAGAGAGAAAATCACTTGACAGTTACCCTAAACAAAACTTCAATTCGCGCTTTTGAAAACTCTCAAATATCTTCACACTGCCCATCACGCGAGTAACCCAATTCGTGGTGTGAAGCTCGGGCCAGGAAAGGCAGGTGTCCTCAACCCTGGAAAGTGTCACCAACCCTGGAAAGTGTCACTTGTGCGGTGGAGTTATCGCAAGAGAGTCCTCACCGCAGGCAGGGCGAAAAACGAGATGGCAAACACTGAGAAGCAAGATGCGATGGTTTTGCCGATCCAGGTCTGTGGCACCTTGTCACCATATCCTATCGTCGTCACTGTCACCTTAGTGTGGGAATGGGGGGATGGGGGCCCAGAGGCAAAAAAACGGGGGCTTGACTTGCAAACGGGCGTCAACACATTAAATAAAGGTCCATACTGTACACCACAAAACCCACCAGGGCTTAAAAAAAAAACTGCTGGCTAAGCAAGTGAGGTTTGCGGTCGAGGGTTTGGAAGGCAGCTCGCCACTGTCCTGATAACAAAGAGCCCGAGTCTGCCAGACGAGTGCTGTAGGGAATGTATTTATTTTGGTACATTTTGTAATGTCCACAGCGATGGTACACACACGTCTAGGGAAATGTCTTTGCTTTACGCATGACTCAAATTAAGAAAAACAAAATATGTAGTAGGAAAAAACGTAACTAAAGCAAAACATTGTTTTTATATGTCAAAAAAAGTATCTTTTTGCGTAAATCTAACTTATATTTTTGGGCAAATCACTGATTTTTTTTTCAGTGAATAAAAATAATAGTTTATAAAGGCGAGCTAATACGTGCAGTCTCCTGCAGGTCGCTACACAAAACAATTTCCCGGTAAATCGCGGCACGAACAATGTCGGGTAAATATAACTAAGCTTTATAACGTGGAAAATGTAAGTCTCAAAGGGATGAATCCTTCATTTTTGTATTATTCGTATTTCTTAAGCCAAACTACAAACGGGCAAAGAGTTCAAAGCTTTTAATGAAGCGCCATTTCATTCGACTTCCCACAGAGTCCGGCTGCCCTGTGGAGACCGACTGCCCGCCTGCTGCCTGCTTCACGCTGAGAAATGGACTTTTACAGTGTCCTGTTTTACGTTCAACCCTGCTGGCAGTTATATTACTCCTACCGCTATGGCCACAATGGAGCCCTTTGTTGCGTCAGCGACCTGGCGTGGAGATTGACACGGCTCACCGGAAGGCCACGGGGATCAGCCCAAAGGCCAGACATGTCTGCGTGTCGTGGCCCGTGAAAATAAACGTAATATTCAATGTAATTCAACGTGCTCCTCTCTCGCACTCGGCCTGTCTGTGCGTGGAGTGAAATCTTCACGTTTATTTATTTATCAGAACTGGAGTAATACTTTCAAAGAGTCAGCATTGGCGGCACTGTTATTCTCGCCGAGGCTGCAGTATTTGGAGACCATAAACACCTGCCGATCCGTGTCTCTGAGGGTAAGTCGCACGTATGCGATGTTTTACTGCCGCAAACGTGATTATGGATTGTACATACAAACTTTGGGCGGACTAGTACTGTGGGGGGGAAAAAAAAACATGAAAAATTTTCCACTTGCAAAAATGCACCATTTTTGGTTTTATAAGGTAACTAACACAATACATATTTTGCTACTAAATTATTCGTCCACATCTATTTCATTTATCGACGTGCCATATATTCAATCAGTTATAATCAGTAGTACAAACATTTTTTGCTCAGAAAAACAAAACAAAACCTTGCCGCGTGTAAGGCAAAACCGAACTTCCCATTACAAAAATAAGCACCCTAATACAAGTGTCCACAAAGTGTTTAAACTCTGTGTAAAACACTGTTGTCAAAACCGACAAACTGCCACCTAATGTTTACATCCTATTATTACCCGATGGCATCTGGTGAAAGAAACGTGCATGGATCAGGTGTGCTGAATTAGGCAGGATGATACTAGACTCTGGAAGAGGGCAGAGATCCCACAACTATTTCCAGCTGCCACCCCACCGTTACTATCCCCAGGGCTATTATTTCCTTGGACAGCTATGTAGGGGCGCCACGGTGGCGAGATGTTAACTATCTCGCCAAATACGCAGGAGGTCATGGATTCGATCCCAACCCCGATGCCTATTTATTTGGAGTTTGCATGTTTTCCCCGTGGTCACGGGGATTTTTCTCCAGGTCCTCAGGTTTTTTTTCCCAGCACATTTAGAAACATGTGTTTAGAGTATTTGGCTGCTATAAATTTCCACATAAGCCACTTCGTTGAGCCATCATTTGTGGCCAGGTCGCTTCTGTAAAAGAGATATATATATAGCTCAGTGGGTCTTACCTGGTACAATAAAAAAAATAGTTTAGTTTACAGTTTTAGCTTTTGGCAAGGACATGCCTAGGTTTGCAGGGTGATATAAATACTATTAGGCTTTGCTGCTCAGTCTAATTAACGCTAGAAAATTAATACACTTGCCACACGTTATTAGCAAGTCACGAGTAAAAAGTATCTAAATATTAAAAAAATATTATTCTTTTGTATTCACTGATAAGGAGTGAAAAAACACATTTCTGTTGTGTTTAAAGAAGACTGATATTTAGGCGGAGTGGCCTTCAGCGAAAAACAAACACAGACAGCTAAACAAAGACAGATGGACAAACAAAGACACACAGACAGACAAATTGACAGATAGACAGAAAGACACAGAGACACATAAACAGAGAAAGCCTTACACAGACAGACATGCATGGACAATGTTCGTGTAATGATCTCTCAGATTTTAAATAAGGGCAGTCTTTCATTAATGCAAAATTGTGACTCACCACCCCCCACCAAAGTGCGTCAGCATAGCTGGCAAATTCATTCTTCTCCCTGGCTTCATCCTTCTCGGCCAGGTACACAAAGTACGATGAGAATATGAGACCCAGGAAGCCAATGTACAGAGTCGTTATCAGCTCCTGGGTGAAAGAAGAAAATAAAGAAAAAACATAAGCAAACCTCACTTAGCCACATTTGTGTGTATTGAAACCAGGTACCATCATGCATAATCTAATTCCCATAGCTTCATGACATTAAACCCACAACACATGTAATAATGACATCAGATCATAATTATTCTCTTGCAGGTGCTAAATATAAATGTGCACACTTTCTGCGTTATAAAATAACGTAAACTCCCTTCACCCAAAGTTGAATTAGCCTACATATATTAAATTATATACATCATCTACATCATTAGACCTCCTTTGCCAGTACCAAAATATAATAGGGTTTTTCCCCTTTTTTTTCTGGCAACAAAACTGAAACCTTTTTACAATAGAATCATGTGTGCATTAACCACAATACTTGTGGTCAAATGCAAACAAAAAACACACTGATAATATATGCATTGTCCTTGAAACTGATTGGTCCACACCAGAGACGGCTTTCTTTTGAGCCTCGTCTCAATTGATGCACACATGATTCCTTGTAAAAAGGTTTCAGTTTTGTTTCCAGAAAAAAAGGGGAAAAACCATATTATTATATTTTGGCACTGGCAAAGGAGGTCTAATGATGTAGATGCTTACCCCGAGCCCTCATTACTTTGATAGTGCATTGTCTTTGAGCTGTACACCTTTTGGCGTCCTCTGGTCTAGCATCAATTGAGATGAGGCTCAAAAGAAAGCCGTCTCTGGTGTGGACCAATCAGTTTCAAGGACAATGCATATATTATCAGTGTTTTTTGTTTGCATTTTGACCACAAGTATTGTGGTTAATGCAGTAACATGATTCCTCGTAAAAAGGTTTCAGTTTTGTTTCCAGAAACAAGGGGAAACCCCTATTATTAGATAAATCATATTTCACAGCCCTTTGTCAATACACTGTTGGATGAAGGCCTCCGCATGCTGTGTCAATCACGGGGGCCGTTTATTTTTTAACGTTCCCCGACTTCACCAACCCTCACTGACCAATTTGGTGAAGTATGGTCAATTAACACCACCCCCAAAGACCCGCAAGCCACGGTGAGGCCTTCATCCAGCAGTGCATTGACTGAAGGGAATTACGCAACAGAGAACCCACACATCGAGAGAAGAATGCCAGCTCTTCCACCGGAGACAAGAAACCAAGGGTGAAGGGGGCGGTCAGCGAGCTCTCAGTCTCCAAGTGCCCTCACCTGCCGGTGGATGAAGACGACGGAGCCCAGGAGCCTCCAGGTACCTCCTTGTCGGTCGACGTGCAACATGCGCAATATCTGCAGGAAGCGAATGCCCCTGCAAGGCCACGCAGAGACAGACGTCCTTTTAGTTGCCTTGCCGCGAAATCAACTTTGTCCTTACTCTTTGGTTCTTTCGGTAAAGTCGCGTAGGTATAAAATAAAGAAATCACGGCGTTTCGGGCGCTTCACAAGCGTCCGGTTGTGTTGGTTATGAAACGCTGTCAAGAGGAGTAGGTTTTGTACCAGTACAGTAGTGTGAAGCAGGGTGATGTATTTATCGATGTCCCACTCATTCCTAATGGCCCTCTCACTTTCTTCTCGACGGGTGAATTAATATATTAAAGCGCGAAGAATGAATAAGTGCGTTGATTTAATACGTGTATTGACATTGGTCGGACACATCTATACATGGATCACCCTATACCGTATGTTAACAACACATGCCCTTTTTGCTCACCGTTTCATCAAGGCTGTAATGCATGAGAGTAACGTAAGTAATACATGTTCATGAGACGCAATAATTCGTTGATTCAAATCGATTCTTACATTCAGGATGCATGTGCTGAATTGTGCTTAGGAGAATTGGTAATTCACGTAAATTTTTTATTTATTTTGGGCCAGTGAAATTAACATGCGAGTCAGCAAATACAAATAAGACGGTGCAAAGGAGACCGACGCTAATTTTATACAATTGTGAACTTTAATTATGTACACATCATACAGGAAGTGAATCTATGGATACATCGCAACAGTTTAGTATGTTATTTTTTTTCAATCTGCAGATATCTGTAGCGTAATCTTACAGCAATTCAATCTTAATTGTAAAACCAAATGCAATAAAGGGGGTGTGATCACCTTATGGCAGAGGTTGCAAATACCTGCCCGTTGGAGCCCACACACAAGACAATGATGGAAGCCACCACTACCACGAGATCTGTAAGAAACAAAGGGTTCACATTCCTCTTGCAATTTAGAGAGAGAGACTCAATAATAGTTGAGCCCTTTTGTCAACTTACCGTTGAATAAAGGCCTCCCCATGCTCTGTCGGTCATGGAAGCTGTTTAACAATACTCCACCACGCGCTGATCAATGCGGGTTGGTGAAAGAAGGTCCTAATATAAGTTCAGATATCACTCGCCACCGATATAGCCATGACCATAAATCACACTCAGGTTGTAAGGTTTTCGGAGCGCAGCACTCCAATTACTGCGTCATTGCTCAGTCAAAAATAAAAAAATATACAATTCCGTTGGCAAGGTTTGTTTTTCAACTATGCTTGTACTCCGCCAACACTGCTGAAATCATGCGCTCCCAGGATGCTTTGTAGTTGACAGGAAGTGTAAAAAATCGTTTATTTTTCATGTGGAGGGACAGATAAATGAAGGCGATATGTTTCGTCAGGTGATTTGATCTAAGCTTATCAGTGAATTATTTCGACCAAAGAGATAACAATTATTATAAATAATACTGTGGACTTCACTTCTTGAAAACATGACTTCTGCGCGTACACACAAGGACTCATGAAACGCTGCCAGAAAGTGACAAGGAGTGTTTGGGCAGGTCGCATGGCAGAGAGAACCAGGGCAGTGCTGACACTCACCGATGATGGAGATGGGCTTGTGAGCAAAGCGGACGCGTCCCATCACACCCACGTACTTGCTCCTGCAGCCGGCTGACCACAGACGCACCAGGTACTCCACCCCAAAGAAGACCACCAGTGCTATTTCCTGAAAGGTGAACGCCATGCTCAAGAGTCAATGGAATTTATCCATGTGAAGGTCATGATCGTTTGGCAACGACTGGCATTGTAAGAGCCACATTTATTGTCTTATTCTGACAATCAACCACTTCAGTGCTCTTTACTCATTTTCAGAGGGGTTGGGGGGGGGCACTTTCGCGGATAAAACATCAGTATGAGTGCCGCCAAACCACATGCAAGGGGTGTTTTCACATTTGTGTATTGTTGGGGTCCGCACTAAAGGCCACCAGGTGCCACCAGTGGCCCCTGGGGCATTGCAATGAAGAACACTGCTCTATGTTGTCAACAATTATCATTGCAGTTTTTCAACTACATTTTTTTATCGACCACTGGCACTGGAACAACCTTCAAACTGAATCGTCATTATTCGCCAGGATCTAGCCTCTTGATTCACGCACGTCAAAGTTATTCAACAATAAACAGAGAAGAGTCCTTAGCTCTGCCATTGTCTTTTTTATAGTCCATCACCCTGTGGGTATAATACATCGGTTTTCCATCAGCGTTGGTTAAGAAGGCAAATCCTCCGGTTTTCCATCAGCGTTGGTTTAAGAAGGCAAATCCTCCGGTTTTCCATCAGCGTTAGTTTAAGAAGGCAAATCCTCAACTGGTTTCAGTCAGGCCCTGCTAAATTGTCAGATGTAAGAAACAAAAACCAAGCAACGAAACAGGACAAATGCGTACACAAACTCATGTGCAGCCATGGAGCATCGTGGGTAATAAGAGTGCTGGGGAACCTAAAAAAGTTGAAACCAGTACAGAATTTGCCAGTTACAATTTGATTCTTCTAAATAAATATATAAGCATAGGCTGTGGAAGAATATATTTTTTTGGTAGAGAGATAGATTATTGTCGACTGCTTTATCAGCCATTCCTCTCCATGACTGAGCACAATTTCCTCACAAGGGTTTGTACAACTACAACAACTATCTAGGTGTTCGTAGTTGCCCTGTACAGCTCTCTGGTGGTTTTTGGTTGCGCCACAGCGTTATTCACCATGATGTCCAAAGTTTCACTCCACGTGCCAGGAGTTCAGTTTCCCAAGAAATCAGGTCTTGAAGATGCTCCCAGCATACGGGGCGGAATGTGGGACATCATGCCGAACAGCCCAAAAATGCAACGGAAAGCTATGTTGAGTTTTGGTTCAAAGGTAGCATTCACGTTTGGGAAAATAAACAAATAAAATGCTGGTAAATAACCTGGAAATTACTTAATTGGGATTACACACAGCAGTAAAATCACTCCCTACTGCAAAAACGTGGCAGGACCCTCCTGAAAAAGAGTCTTTAGACTCAGTGAGGCTTCCTCGGGTAAACAACATAATACCGATAATTAACGAATGTAACCAAAACTTAAAAAAGAGCGACAAATTGTTCAATCGTGTTCAATGTAAGATTTAATAAGTGTAATAAGTGGTTATCACACTGCGATATGAAGTTGGCGACCTAGTTTGATTCCTAGCAGCAGCTCACACCGGTGGGCGAGTGATACCCAAACCGGTCCTTAGCCTCCCACTCGTTCACAAACTCGCACAGACCATTATGGTGATATATCCTCAAGCAAACCACAAACTGACGTGGCATAAAATACCTTATTCTAGCAGAAGACTGTAAATTAATATTTTTCATTATTATTATTAGATGTATAACCCATTATAAGAATGATTATGAAGTATGACAACTTTACGTGAAAAAAACAACTGCATTAACAACAGCAGCAAGAAAGCAAAATCAAAGGCGACAGTAACAATTCAAACTTAAAACTTTAACTAAGTTTGTTTTTCCCTCTCTCTCCCAACTGACTAAATGTGCAAGTCCCGATAGCCAATTTTCAAGTTCTGGCTGTGCTGGACCACGGGATATGAAATACATTCAAAGCTGGCTGGCATTTCGCCAATTCGGTTTGGTCAAGCTGCGAGCCCATGCCAGAGGGATTGAAACCTGGTACTAACTGATTGCAGAGGGGGGAGTCTGAATGCCATGCCATGCATGGCATGGCTTATATGAGGGGGAAATTACAGTCGTCAAAATGAAAAACATTGCCCAGAGGAAAGACAAACGGACGAGACGATACACTTTGCAATGGAAAAATCCAGATATATTTTCCAAAAAAAATACACATTCCATTTAGTTAGCGATGCATTAAAAGTTGTCGGAAAACATTTTAACCTTATTTTTCCATTCTGTGGTGTGTATATATATAATGAGTTAAACCATTCCAAATAGGATATTAAAAGTGTTCTCTAAGTCTCATATGAAATGTATATTGCACAAACCGCTATATGTTTAAATGCAAAAAGTAAAGGTTAATATACACCAGCTCCACGATTACCATGAAGACTCGTACTTTAAACAAACCTCAGTCTATGCGGCACCTATGTCTGTGTGTGTACACTGCATTCGACACAGCCTCTTTAGTCGTGCTACCACAAAGAACCAATGCTACGTCTCCACATTTGACACGACGTTGCTGTCAAAGTAAAGGAACTCTTGACAGTTTGGCAATGGAAGGATTCTGGAAGCACGCAAGCCAGGCACGTGTAAAACATGAGATTTGTTGGAACTGCCATCATAACAAACTGCATCACCGAACAGTCGGCCAAATATATTATCACTCATCCGATTTGCCAGACACACAAGACTGCGTGCAACCGTGCCCAGAGAATGTTTTGACTTTTAAAGGTCAAGGGGATGAACCTTAGACGTTATAAATCTTACAGCGTTTCTTCCATTCGGAATGGTGATTGTATAACAAGACGTAGAGCGTGGTATCTTCACTGGCAGAGAACGAAAACAATCTGAGAATATTGGTTCCAGTCACGCAAAGAACACGGACCATTATGTACTGCACCCACAATGCACGCACATTTCATTATAACAGACAGGAAGGGTGATGCAGTTTGGTATGTAATTACTACATCTGCAAGGAGATATATAATGTATTGTAGCTACACACACATATTTGTAATACACATCGGCCTTTTATATATTCACCGTGCAATGTATCGTCATGGTGGTAAAGGTGCAATATCTTGCACACGCCAGTTGCCAGCAGCAGAGCCTCCACTAGATGGGAACTCTCTAGAGCCCCAACAGAGGGTATTTGGCCTACTCTTCCACACTGGCCATACATATTGGAAGAGGTGGGAGCACCCACACTTGACCTCACCACACACGACCTACCAATTGAATATCTCGTGGTGTACCCATTTACACTTCTAGATGAACCGATTCTGGAGCGGGGGAGGGAAGGCTTTAAGAAACTTGCACTATTCAATCTTACATCCTTCCATTATATTTGCATTATATATGCAAACATAAATTTTAATATGCATGAACATATGGTTACATTGTTCAGCTTACAATTTAATGAAAAAAGTTTATCTATTTGTAAGCAAGGAATCCTGAAAAAAAATGTGCAGGAGCAAAGAGCACAATTCAAACTGGAAAACATTTTTTTTAAACGGGAAAAAACATAGTAATTTTCAAGCAATTGAGCGGATTCATTATGGAACATGATTTATTTGTGCTGGAAAGTTGTTTAATTGCGCCAATGTAGTTTCAACAAGTGAAGCGCATGCCTCGTACATGGGCTTCGTCGCCAACAATTGGCATTACTCATTGATATCGAATTCCCAGCTCCGTTTCACATTCACAGTTACACACATGAACAGCAATTCTTCCATAATCCCTGGAGTATCATTTGGTGGTTTCACTTCATTTGATCGCCTTCATACAGTCCAAACTGCATTCAAGTTGTTTGTTGCGTCACATTGTATATCCTAAAGTTTGTCCCTGATTAAACTTTACAATATAAATTTAACCATATCTGCAAATTCAGCAAATGTGTAAAATAATTATAATGACAATGTTGTTATCTCCATATATATAAAAGGCAAAGTTGTGATTATGTGTATCTGTTCAAAATGTTTAGTGTACTTCCCGACATGCAAAAAACTTGAAATTTGCCATATGGGTACTTTCCAGACTGTACACCATGCAAACATTACAAAAATACACTTTTTTTTGGGTGGGGAGCTCAATGCATATTTTTTTTGCACGGCACGTGAGCTGTGACGTCAAATCTGTCACGTGACCCGCGCACGTGGAAGCGTAACGCATTGTAGTGTAGCGGTTAGCGCGCTGCGCTACGAACCTGGCGTCCCGAGTTCGATTCCCGCTCACGACCACCGCCGGTGACGATTATTTTAACCGGTCCTGGGCCTCCCCTGGGTCGACTCCGCCTCAAACGAGTAAGTGGTGTGGTGTGTCAACATCGCCACTGGGGAGACAAAGGCGGCCGGGCGTGGTAAATCCAAGTCCTGGGCGAAGCCAGGTAGTACAGCTAGTTAATATATTGTCTTAAAGTTTCCTATGACCAAATAATTCTGGTTACACCGATCTAGTTGCATCTCGAAAGCTAAGCAGATTTGGTGTCTGCTTCCTACTTGGATGGGTGGCCACAAGTGCACAACAGCAACATGGGCCCAGCAGATGGCAGTACAGAGATGGCTGCAGTCCACAGAGAGATTTTTTTCCCACTAATTGGAATCAGCATTTCTGTGTACTTACTATATCTATGCAGAGTTTTGAGTGTTATCCCCCTCATATGTGTGGGAGGTTTTCTGTGTACTTACTATATCTATGCAGAGTTTTGAGTGTTATCCCCCTCATATGTGTGGGAGGTTTTCTCCAATTTCCCTCCCACGACAAACAGCACACCCCTTTATTGGAATTGGCCAAGCATTCCAATGCAGGACCCTCCTGATAAAAAAAGACTCAAAGGCAGCACATATTTTGTCTACAAATAAGTGGCATTCTCATTCACAAAAGATACACCGTGTCTGTTACAAATCCCAATTCCTTGGACTATCAGGTCTATGTATAAAATTAAACTGCCCTATGATTCTCCAAATGGCAAAACTTGTTTTGAATACACTTTCACATACACATATTTCTACCAGAATAAACT